GACCATCTAGTATAATCTTCTATTTCAGCAATATTAGATTGAAAAGAAGCTTTCCATAAATCTTTAGCTGTATTCTCAAACTATGAAGTAGAAGTCATCTTTGATTGAATTAATTAATTGTGAAATAAACAATACAACTACAAGTTTCTACTGGAATGAAAACTATACGACTACAAGTTTCTACTGGAATAGATACTATAGGAACTTAAGAACACTGATTGTCACGAGGGAATGTGCCCTCCGCGTGTTCTACTCGTCTTTAAAAGTACGATAATGGCGCTTAAATCGCAAAGGTGGCGCTGTAACTAGCGGTTTCGGCACTACAAACTATGGAGAGGGTAGTTGTTCAAAGTGGAAAAAACTTTTACATATGGCTACAATATTATTTTTAGCATCACTCTTACTTCGAGTCTCAACATAAAATGTATGCTTAGAAATCATTCCAACATTAAAATAGATTATATGATAGATTTTCAAGGCTTTCACTGCTCTACCAATTATTTTGTTTGTAAAGAGATTGCTTATGTATCATTGAGTGATATTTCTACACCAATCGCCTTTATTTTCAAAGCACGTTACCATTGCCTCAAACTACTATTCTGTATCAACGTGTTAATACTTTTCTTGAAAAGTATTAACACGGAATATTATGGAGAGAGGGTAATATACCCTATAAAAATCTATCTCAAATGTTGCACTGTCATTTACTTAATTCAAGAAATATTTATGTAAAAGGATTGAAAAAAATAATGGCTTCAAAAATAAATTTCTGAAAAGTAGGTATAAGCAACTATATAATTGAATAATAATTATAACTGAAAATTATTTTTATTGTTATGTCGCGACTCTGTAGTCGTGACATGTATTTATTCAAATCAATGAATTTCATTTTAAGACGGTATGGTTAAAATATATGTAAAAAGTATATATATATATATATATATGTATAAAGATAATGGATAGATTATCAAGAAATATTATTTCCAACTCTTACTTTGTTGCTGGATAATCTGGATCGTTCTTTATTAGAGGAATATTATTTCCGATTCTTACTCCCGTTGATTGATGTCTTCCTATTAATTCCAATGGAATTGTAACAATGTATTTTAAACACAATATTTAAGAACATTAATAAAATCTTACTTTGTTTGATAAATTGAATTCACTCCGTGAGCGGTAATTGAATTAATACAATTGAATTGTCGCGCGTCACCAATCGACTGCCGAAAGAAATCAGTACACTCTTTTATATATTGAATATTGACTCATTAGCCTACATTGATTTATCAAGTAATCAATTCTGCTGAGTTTGGTTAGTTTGGTAATTTTTTTTTCGTAAAGGTGTAATACATTTTAGTGCTTATTTTGCTACTTTGAGCTTGCTTCATTGCCGCTCACCTCAAAATAAGTAGAACTAACGTATCAGGACGTACATTAATTTAAACCAAAAATCTTGGATTTTGAAACAGAGATGAGATGTTCTCCATTAAAAGAATTACTTCCTCTATATAAGACAAAGTTCTGTGCATATCATCATGGAAACCGACCTGACTTTGTTTGTTCTACCGCATAAGTACAAAAATTATCTAATTATATTATAGAAGACAAAAGAAGCTCGAACTAAAAAGCATAGATATTGTTGATTATGATTTATATAAAAATTCAAATGAATATTTCTAAATTATTTTGTTAAATTCAAGATTATTCAATGTCTATAAAGATTATAGACTAAGCGTTCTCTACCCAGTGTATAATTAAACAATAAAAATATTCAACTGTAAATAAAAAATGACTACTAATTATTTCTACGAATCAAATATAAATAAAATACATTTACACTACTAAGATAATACTAGTGGGTTGGTGGGTGGAAAGGCTTGGAGCAGGTAACTTTACAAGGAATCGGCAGTTGGACTTCTGTATCATCTCGAACTCTCTCTGACTCAGAAAAGTCCTCCCTCTACACCGCCACTTAGAGAGAGAGAGAGAGAGAGAGAGAGAGAGAGAGAGAGAGAGAAATAGAGTAGGACTCCAAGCGCCCCTATCTCTCTCTCTCTCTCTCTCTTTCTGTCTGTCTGTCTGTTTTTCTCTCTCTCTCGACTATACTCACAAATATATCTTATACGTTGGACCAAAACATATATATATCCCTTATACATTGGGCCATAACATACATAGTCTATCTACTGACATGCAATAAATATTCATTTTGATGCTCCTTAGATTATCTTTTATAAATATTAACAGGTGCAGAGAATTATCAAAGATAATCGGCTGCACCATTACCACTACACCAAGTTGCAATAGTTTAATGAACAAGATTTTCATCTACGCATAGAATTTTGCCAACGAATGCTTTAAGAAATCCAGGATGACGAGAATTTTTTAAACAGAGTACTATTTATAGAGGAGTCCGTCTGTGGCAGAGATGCAACAGTTAACGCGCATAACAACCACTATTATGCAGTGAAAAACACAAATTTACATTGTACATGTACATCACGAATATGCTGCAACAGGTCAGACGATCAATAAAGAATACTACGTTCAAATTTTGAAACGTTTGCGTGATGCAGTAAGAAGAAAACGGCCGCACTTTTGGGAAAGTGGTGAGTGGCTTCTCCATCACGATAATGCGCCAGCGCATTCATCCAATCTTGTGCAGCAGTTTTTGAGCAAACACAATATCGCATTGCATACAGTCCCGACATAGCTCCTTGTGACTTTTGGCTGTTTCCAAAACTAAAAAAACCACTCAAAGGACACCGATTCGATGACAAAACAACGGTTGAAAACAATATGACGAAAGTACTTAATGCTATCCCTAAAAGTGAGTTCCAGGAATGTTTTGAAAAGTGGAAACATCTATGGAACCGTGTTATTCAATCAAGTGGGGATTACTTTGAAGGATGCCACCCACCAGATGATAAAGAATAACGCTAGCACGAAAATATAAAGGTAGGCCCGATACTTTCCGGACAGACCTCGTACGTATGTCCAACGCTGGCTACAGTGTTTTGTTGAAAAAAATGAGAAGAGGAAGAGAAGGAAACGAAGAACAAGCAGTATGCTAGCATATTGCTTGCTCTCGTTACACATTTATAAGAGAATAATTTAATAAACAGACACTTAATTAGTCACTAATTTGAAGATCTGAAAGATGCCGATAATTTGAATGATAGAGTTGGATAGATCGGTAGCTAGATGATGTCCCATTTCTCGCATGAAGAAATAAATTAGAGATGACTCTTACGAAACACATAGACTGGCTGTTAAAGGTTGAGATTGCATTGAAGCACATTAAAGAATCCGTTAATCATAGAATGCGTACATCCTAGAAGAAGTGGAGAACGGCACGTAAATCGAAACTAGCCAAAACAGTAGAGTTTAATCTAACAAAGAAGAAACTCGCGCCATCGAAAAGGAAATCTATCCATTTTCTTGTGTTCTCAACCGTTGGAGATATGAGAGACGATTTCAGGGAATTAAACGATCGATGGTAACTGAAGTATGGCGAGTACTAATTACACTGAGATGGTATTCTTTGGGTCAAAGTGAACAGCAAAGTACAACAGCAGCATTAACAAGTGGCTTTAAGAAAGCCGCACCGCCAGACTTTTGACTCCGTATCTTACCGGTGGTATTATCGGCATCAGTGACAACACTAATATCAATTAGGTACTGGTAGGATTCTTGCGAACATAATTGTTGTGCATTTACTCGGGACAACGTTTGTTTTTCAATCTGTAGACAGAAAACATCATTCTGACTCCTTCTGTCTCTCTTTCGCTGTTGTATTTTGTCAGCACGATCAAGTATTTATTTACATTCTTCTATGTGACTAAACCTTTCGGTCAGCGTTAATATTTGTATTACGTCAAATAGTAAGTGACCTAGCGATATGTGTGTGTGTTTGTGTGTATGTATATACCGCTACGAGAGAGTGGCGCACATTCGAAAGAGGATTTTGATTTAATGCATGATAAGGATTTGTATGCACATGTGAACTGCAAAACCACGTACTAGGTTCCTCTGATAATTGCCCATGTCACATTACCACTGCTTTTGTCCATTCATTCTTGAAAAGAGCAATTCGATGTATGATGATCATTGGCATGATCACGATCGAAACGTGTATCTTTCACATATGCGGCAAGTACATTGACGATTTAAATAGGAATGTAGACGCCAATAAAGCAGTAAGCCTCGTACCGAAACTTTGAGCAAACTTTCAGCTAAGTCATAAGACAAAATTATCTCCCTCCAAACTATACCATATAAAAAAATCACGGAAACTAAAGGTTTACATACTGCGGGATACGGCTTGCAAACTCGCTTAAAAATCAAGCATTCATTCATATTTACAGAGTGCATTCATTCACTCAATCGAACAGAGTCAAATTCACTCAGTCAAACATGGTTACATACTCTCTATCACATATACTCACTAACACTTAAGTAGTCAGTCAATCACTCAAGAAGAAACATACAAGCCGAATGTACGACGCGTTACCTTAAATTCACAGAACTTCTCACTCACGGTAATCTTTTTATTTCGAGTGTCATAGCTCAAGTAAAATTATCTCACGCGACGCGTCTAATAAAATCATGCGCCAATGATTTTTGTTTCAATAAGTAGCGCGATATTTGTTTACCTTTGGAGTAATAATAAATATATTCCATCTAAATATCAGTTAGTCATTTTATCCCTTTTTCACGATTATCTCCATTACGCAGCTATTAAGAAAACAAGAAGTCCCAACCTATGATATTATAAATAACAATTATTAGAAATAAAAAATATAGATATCAAATTTTTTATTTGTAATAAAAAATATTTAGTACTACAGAGATATAAAGACATTAGTGTATTACGTACTATTAAGTATATTTTTTAAAGCAATTAATGCTTTAACTAACTTTAAGTTATAAATTTTAATATAAACCTGATGTTATTTATGATTATTCATTGAATAAATTGTATAATATTCTTATTGCAGAAAAACAAGACCATACCTTATTATATCAACGACAGAGAAAAATATAGAAACGTCACAAATATCAGAATCAACCATAAAACCTTTAAATGCGACGCTTAAATACAAATTTATCAGAGATCGAAAAACGGAAGGGTCTGTTCCTAAAAATCAAGGATCCATAAAATTGACCGATGAAATAATTCCAATAGAACGAGAAACGGAAGAAAATGAAGCAAATAGACTGAAACATTTACCGAATATAGCAACTCTTTTTACTGATAGTAGAATAAGTAAAGAGAACGTTTTTGCAGGTCTTGAAACTCATGAAGTACGTTCTACGTCCAAAAATTCTGCAAAAATTAATCGTGATCTACTTCATTCAAAAATAAAAGAAACTGAGGCAACGGATGCCGTATTTACTGAAGATTATACTGTCGGTCCATATGATTCAATCGATTTCGATTTTCAAGCTGACCAAGCTGATTATGTTCTGAATTATAAAAAAGACTTATCTAATATTGACGATGATTCTAGTACAACTGTTCCCGAAATAGAACCTTTTTATAAATATCACATTAAAATTCGTAATAATGGAAAAGTATTAGGATCTTCAGTAAAATAAATATATGCAAAAAAAGTATGCCTATAATTTATTAACCGCAATATAATTATTTAAATTAAATATTATTCTTCCTTTTTTATGACTTTTTTTACTACGATGAGAGATATTTAGATTAATGAATGAAGTAACGTATACTATACTGCTATTTTATATCTGTAAGTAGGTCATGTTTTCGTCAAACGAGTGTTCGACATGAAAATCCTCACTTTTTTTCACCCTTTTACTCGCTTAATGCTTTTTGAAACCTTTTTATCTATAATGGCTATCATCTTCCATTTCAAATATCAATATTGATATTTGAAATATTACATAGATAGGTGGTAGTAGGTAAACTAGAGAGGCCAAAGCTCAGAGAGGTATCGGCTCACTGAGTTTAGATGTCTCCCGGAGTTGATGCTCGTGCACGTTCAGCTCAGCACTGTCAACTCACCTCACCTCCCCCCTACTGAACCGAGATGCCCGTGCATTGTTGACTCACCTCCCTCCCCCCCCCCCTACTAAGCTGATGTGCTCTGATGCCCGTACGTTCTACGCCCTTCCCCTTTCCCCCGCCCCGACTGTACTGATGTGCTCTGACGCCCGTGCGTTCTATGCACTTTCCCCTCCCCTACTGATATGATGTGCTCTTAATGCCCGTGCGTTCTGTGTTACGTGCTTTGATTTTATTGTGCGTTCTGTGTTACGTGCTTTGATTTTATTGTGCGTATGTGTGTGTGTGTGTTAAAATATTGGACTTATCGGAAAAAAACGTACGGATCGGGGAATCGAACGCGCGTCCTCTGGATCCGCACACCGATGCTCTACCACTAGAGCTACTGCCACTGGTACTATGGGTAATTTGTATTATGTATATTAGCTACACGATTAATATGTGGAGGGACAGCCCAAGCGCTAATACATACAAATAATAATAATGCTGTTATATATATTTATTGTAATTAGTATATAATGAATTTCTTTTTTTTTTTAATTATATACACTAATTATAATAAATAATATATATTATTATAATAAATTTAATAAATATACTATGTAACGGGGTAAAACCGTTTAATTATTTTATGCGCGCAAATACACTGAAAGGACGCGCGCAGTTAATTATGCTCGGTACGTAAATCGGAGAGCATGTAAAGATAGGCGCCAGTCAACCAGTAAGTTCTCTTATCGAAGGAAAGTGAGTGGAAGCTATGAGATATAAGCGAATCAAAAGAAAACACTTGTTAGTAAAATGAACTAGATCTTTTATTATTCCTTATACTCTACAGAAGGTCGGCCCGCGCGTTTGTTTACGTTGACGCTCGCTCATCGACATCACGCTTTGCCGGTACGCTCGCTGCTCTTTGTTATTAGAGCCGTTACATGCACGCATCAAATATTAGAATTAAATTATTATTCATACGATCGCGATCGCGAAATTAAGCTGGCCAGCTTACCTTATATTTGCAGGCGATCAGAGAACACAGCGACAAATCGCACAGCACGGAACAGTTTTTCTATTGTTTTGCTCGCGGGTCGCGAATGCGCGCACACACTGGTTTCGCCCTCGATGGCGAAACCTCACACACTCTCTCTCTCGTCCTGGTCTCGAGCTGGCGGATGTCTGGCACCTCGGTGGCAGCTGTCACGGCTATCTGGCACTCTCGGATATCGCTGATCTGGCGTGTAGTCGTCAAGGGCACGTGAATCGGCAGTTGTAATAGCGAAAGCGGGCGGACACAACAACGGTCAATGCTTCACTGGTTCGAATTCTATCGCGCGCATTCCGTCTGCTCGCGTACCGAATTCCTTCGTTACCAATTTCGTCCCCCCGGCAGGTGCTGCCCTCACAGGCAGCAATTAAATTAGATTATCAGCGCTAATTTGAAGTTTACCGTCACAACTAATTATAATAAATAATATATTTATATTTAATATAATTGGTATATTATGAATTGGTTTTTGCTGTTCAAAGTATGTGTGTTTGTGTGGTAAAATAATTTTTGTAACAAAATCCACTCAATAATATCCTCATGTACCCAACAAAATGATGGTCCGGGCGCTAGTTTTCCGTTTCCCCCATGAAAAAGTAGTCCAGCCGCATTTTTGCTCATGTGCCCCGCGAAATGATAGTCCGGACGCGAGTTATTTCGTTTGCCCCGTGAAAATCCTTTTCTAGATTATTCGGCCATCGTTCTTTAGCTTTGTTTCTCCGTGTTCGAGGTATCTATTGACTTTAGTGTATCGGTATTATCACGATCAAGTAGATGTACATATATTTTTCGAGAAATACATATAATTTGCTCAGATTTCTTTGGAAAATCTCAAGGAATTTGTAAATTTGAATTTTTCCAAATTTCATAGTTTTTCCGGCAGGAGATTTTCCATATTGTTTATTTCGAAATAGCTTTGTTAATTTCATTAGTACTCAGTGAACATTACCAATACAAATAATTAAGATATAATTTTGAATAATTTTATAGATTTTTTGAAAAATTCCATTTCTCATTTTTTGAAATTTTCTCACATCGATCTGACAAAATTCACAGGTACTCCATGATTAATCGAGAGCACTTTTTCTTCTATAATATTTTTTTCGATAGTTGACATTTTTTCAATAAATAAATCATTAAGATTTATATTACACTTCCATACTAAAACCACCATATTTTCCTGTCTAATCAACATTTTCGATAAAAACCAAGGGCATTCGGAAGATTGCCATATGATGTCGTGAAAAAACTTGTTGCGAGAGTAAATTAAGGTCCTGTTTTTTTTCTGGCAGAGCGAAAAACAAAAAAACATTAAAAATATTTCGACTTTTTGCGCAAAATCTGCACTATATTTTTTTCTGCATATTTTTTGCGAAAGTCTTGGCCATTATAAAAAAGGGCATATCTTTAATCACAAGGAATTCATTACAGTTTCTTGAAAATTAGACGAGTGACATAAAGTCAATTCAAAGTGTTTGTTATGTCTAGGCGAGGAGATGTTACAGCTAGACGTAATAATATATTCAAATATTATCGCGTTGGTAAAGGTTGGATCTTAGTCAGGAGTTAAGCAGAGGTTGGTTAAAGGGATAGCGCCTTTATTATACGTAGGGCGTTTTAAGTAGATAACATAGTTTCTTACCTTATTAAGATTGGATTTCAGAAGAGGTTTTTTTACGAACAGTCTCAGGTGCTTGCGCTTGATTTAAGGTTTATTGTATAAAGACAATTATAATACTTAACAGAGTATAATCCCGGTTCTAAGTAGCCGGATAGTTAGACTTAAAAAATAACTTGACGAAACTACCAAACTACTAAATTGTCAACTGTATACTGCGTACTATGTTGTGCGAATTCCAATCCAGCCTTTTTATACCGTAGGCTGATATGCCCCTTCCTGTGTTTTCGCCAATTTAATATGCGATGAGTAATATTCGCGGAAATATTATGGAGACGTGCTTAGACTAATCTATCCCGCTAGATAGATTTACAAATCTTCCCGGGAGGGTTGGTACAATAGAAAATTAAATTACCGATACCCGGTTTGTTACCGTAACTCATAATTCGTCACGTACTTATTCTTTCGTATCGACGTGACATGTTGTTGCAACCACGGTCGTTTGCTACTTAATAGGTTAATAAAACACATTATATGTACATATTCAAATATATGACTTTATAAATATATATATTGTGGTCTATGAAATAAAATTAAAAATTAAATTAATAATTTTTAATAGTGTTACGTTTACGTATAATCAATAAAAATACGTAAATAACACAAACTAAAACTTTATTGAAACACAAACGTGATGCTTTCAATTTGACGCTCAGACGTCAACTAACTAAACAACAACAAAAATATTTATTCTGACGTTGCCATGGATACAAACGTACGAATTCGATATTATAAATTGCATTCGTAACAATAGTGAATTTTTAATAGTGACGAGTCTGCGTTATCGTCGATAGAGAGCCTTGCTACAAAGCTTTTTTCCGATTTACATTTGACGGAGAAATGTGCTTCGAAAACCATATCATATGCAACTGTTGTTATGGTATCTGCTTGCAAAGAATTTGTACGTGGTTATAAGAAAAGTATTCACAAACAGAATGAAAAAATGAATAAAATTCGCGAAAGGATTGAACAGTTTAAATGTAAGATGTGTTTGGATGCTAGGATTGCTGTACTATTTTTACCTTATGGACATATCGCTGTATGCATGGAATGTGCATCAAGAATTCACGATTGTCCAATATGTCGTCAAACTATTACCAAACGTGTTCATGCTTATTTTGCGTAAATTTATTCTTTTTTTAATAAAGTGCCTATTATTTTTTTAAAAATGTTTGTGTACTTTTTTTCTCTTTTAATCTACTATTTTGTATTTTAATGTTAAATTTTATTTTGATTCTTTTTTTGTTGTTTCTTATAGATATATAATACACATTTCTAAAATTCATATATAATAGGTGAGTAAAAAAAAACAAGGATTGATCGATACGTTAACTTTATATTTATTTTCAAACTTAGATATAAAAATCAAATTACATATCATCACGACTTTTGCGAGCGAGCATTCATCTACTGATAGCCATCGCGTTTTTAAAGGCGCACGGTGGATTTGATAAATACGCGTTGTTGTTACTGCATACGGAAATGCTATCGTTTGAAATATTCTTGAGTGATGGACAACCTAAATCTTCAACGTTAATCACAGTCGTTCTGTAAAAAATAAAAGAAGCAAAAATATAATCATTAGATATCATTTTTGTTTCTTTTTACGATGATATACGACAAAAAGAAACTTGCTGTGCATTGGTAAACAAATTTCTCAGCCATTTTGTTTTTTCAAGAACTTTGATAAAAATAGTTGCTCCAAAAAGTGTTTTTTTTCATTATTTTTCCAAGGTCGTCGTACGGTAAATCGCCAGATTCCCACGGAATACCATGATAATTTTTCGTTAACCACCGGTTTGCGCACTGAATTTTCTTTAATAACCACTCCTATGGGTAAGATGGTTTAAACA